ATCTTCAACTTTATTTTATTTGATAATAGTTTAATCAAGTTCATCCAGTTGGACTCTCCTTCTCTCTTGCTCTTGCTGGTTTCCATGTTTCATATTCTGGCTTTACAAACCCAATGAGACTGTATTCCATCCTGATTCACTTCTGTTTCTTTCGTGTACAGAAGTTCTCACCGAGAACCCAGGAGGAGGAGAGCACGCTTCTCCAAACTCACCGTGGTGAAAAAAGACCAAACCACCTCCACCCATATGGAAGAGGGTTTGCTTTTCAGATCCGGTGAAAACAGCCTTGCCTCCTGCAGCGTCCAGTGTGAACCCTTGTCCACGCCGCGTCACAAGGCCAACTACAACATCTACGTGGAGGATCCAGGGAGTTGCCTGGCTGCTCCTTTTTACGAGAACATCACTTTGGATCGAATCAAAGGTTCCCAACAGTCGTCTCACTACATCAACAATGATGAGGTGGCTCGAATTCGAGAGAAGTCAGAGCAGAACAAGAACATGAACACTGACAACTTCTTTCAAGATAAGCTGGTTCATCTGTACAACCAGCCAGTGGCGATTATTCAAGCGTCTGAGCTTTTCAGTAATCAAGAGCAGCAACTGTCAGGGTGTAAGTCTGCCACTTTTCCCCGCAATGGAGCAGAGTATGACACAGAACCAGCTAGTAAAGACAGCTACACCCAGACGCTACCCAAACACTCCCAAAGCGGCAACAGTCCACAGCAGAGCAGCCAGGATGAGCCACAGCCTCTGGAGACTCCTCCCCAAGGCCAAGGCCCAAACCCCAGCGTGTGGGGACGTTACAGTAACCTCCTGGAATCCTCCGTCTCCGTGCCCGGGACTCTTAATGAGGCAGCTGGGATGCAGGGCTTCAGCAGTGGGCATGGCGTACCCAGTGAGCTGCAGGGGATTTCAGAGCGTACCTTGTTGGAGTTGACCCGGGGAAAGCCCTTGTCATCTCACCCAAGAGCCTGGTTCGTCTCCTTGGATGGAAAGCCAGCCGCACAAGTTCGCCACTCCATCATCGAGCTCCAGAACCGCCACCGCCCACCGAGCAGCAACGACACCAGCCTGGACTCTGGTGTGGACATGAACGAGCCTCAGCATAGTTTGCGTGAGACGGAGCGTGACAGGCGTTCATTCCGAGCCTCGTCCCTGCCGCACCACAGCCGAGGGGGACGGTATGTCGAAGAGCAAGACCTGAGCAGTAGCGAGAGTGGCACAACCGCCACATGCACACCAGAGGACCCTTCTCTAAGGAACATTTTAGATGGAAGCAGCGGGGCTATACCCAACATTCCTGAAGAGCGAGATGGGATGGATACGTCCAGCGCTCAGGAAGACAGTGAGTCAAGAGGAACGCCACCTCCACGGCGCCTCAGGAAGGTGAGAGAGAAGGGCAAGACAGAAAAGAGGAGTGCCAAACATGTTCGAGAAGGGCGTCCTCTCGCCAAGCGAAACTAGAGGACGGCTAACACAAAAATTCCTTCATCAGTGCTTAATTTTGATGTCCCATTACCCATGTAGCCTACAATAACTATATTCATACAGCTGCCATTTTTCTCTGACATTACGCTCAGGTTGTGGAGCTCAATCCCTGTTAAAATCACACTGCTGTGTTTCAGACTATAAGTCGTATCAATGTAGGAAATCTTGGAAGCTACTGAAAGCTAACATTTTTAAACAAATATGGCCAAGTGTCCCTTGAGATTATCACTATTAATTGTTTTTTATCAATAACAAAATGAGAAAGACCATACAGTGCTAAAACATTAGAACTGAATTCGAGCTTCCAACCCTGGCACACTGTCAGATAAAAAAGGTCGTCGTGTGAATACGGTGAAATGAACTACCCTCACCACATTGTGTCATCAGTGCCGACTGATTTAAATGAGTCTTTACCACTTGTGCTCACACAGGCATCGTTGTTGTTAATTTATGTGATTGTACAACTTTGCCAAAGAATGCTAAGCTAGCTCAAGAAACAACGCAGGATCTATGTCATGTTGAAGCTTCATGTAGCTGCTGTTACTGTAGAAACGTTTGTGCACCATGTCATGCACCACGCTGAATTTTTCCTGAATCTGAAGAACACCAGCGAGATTCTTCACAGCAAAACGTCCATGTGAACACGATATCCCATAATCCCACAGTACTGGCATTAAAGAGGGTGCCTTCTTACTGCCTGTAATTATTCACTATGATTACAAAGGGCACAGCATCTGTTGATCAATCGGGTGAGAAAACAGGATGGACATGGATACAGGTCTATGTGTAGTGCACTTATCCTCACCGAAAATGCCTGCTGTTAATTAAATACGAAATAGAAGCTTTCCCGACACCTTGTTTAGATCATCCTGAATCATTTAACTTGAGTAAAAAAAACTCTGGGGTTTATGATTGGAAGCAGCTTGGTCACAAAAATTCAACTTTTAATCTCATGACACAAAATATTCCTTCACATGGGGAAAAAAACACTGATGTACATTGAAAAACTAAGCTGACATTTTCAAGTTATGACCTGATATTTAAGGTTTTAAGCCCACAATAATTTTAGAATGCATGAAAATGAATGTTTCCTTTGAGTGTATGAAAATGGCTTTACTTTAGAGCTAACTTAACGCCATAGTAGCTGTTAGATTACTTGTTGACTGAATATTTCTTTCATTGTCTAGTCTTGAACAGAGACTGTTGTGCTGCCAACTATAACTACTTTCAGGAACTATTACATATTACGCAGGCCCAGTAACTACAGTTTGAAACCACATCCATGGGTTTAATATCATTTCATCATTTTACTTGATTTATATATGTGGCTGGAAAGTGTTTGACAATTTGGGTGACCCATGTTAAAATCAGCTTACTTGAACACTCTGAGAATAGGACATTTCTGATCGGATTGTGTTTGTATAGTTGTTAAAAGTGCACAGCTCGGAGTTAAAAACTACAATTTGTATTTTGAGGTTAAGAAGTTCAAACCCTTTTACCTAGGCCCTGAAGTTATGATTCATCGTTTTTATTATTGCTGCTTTCTTATATTTTTGAATATATTCAGAAACCTTTTTTCTTGCAGATAGATTTTTTGGTGCCTTAAGAGTTAAAATTTCAAAACTACTCCAAAACATTTAAAACTATATTGACTTGTTACTAATTACCTAGTACTTGTTTTGTATTGGAGAAAGAAATTCAGTTTTCATTTGATATTCAATGAAAGTATAACAATAATGGTGCTCAACGTATAGTACACAGAGTGCTTAAGGCTCTGGGGGTAGCGACGTTGATTGTTGATCATTGGTTGACGACTTATTCTGAATGTTGGTCCATCACTTTGATCCAAACTAAAATACATGGACTGCCATATTTTATTCAAGATGACACTTTGTTACTTTGGTGATCCCTCTTCCACAATATGATTGATAATCGTGGCTTTATGTGAATCTCTACAACTCTTTAACAGCATCAGTGATCTCTTACATTTTCACCAATTCAAAAATGTAAACTTTTGTAATTAGTTTTAGTGCTAATTAGTAGGTGTTAGCATGCTAACATGCTGAGTAAAGAAGGGAAAAATATCAACTTTACACCTGCTATAAATCACCAAGCTAGCACTTTTTGTTAGCATGTTAGTGAGCTTCAGACATTAGCATTTAGCTTATGGTTAACAAGACTGCAGGTTCCTAATTTTGTCTGGGTTTAACCATTTTCAATATACTGCATAACACCATATTAGTACAATACCAGATTTTTAAATTTTGATATGATTCTATTAGAAATCAAATGATATCAATACCTGTTTCAACACCACGGCAACTAAAATAAAGTCATGGCTGCACAATATTGGGTAATTGTAAAAGCTGGCACAAAATGTATTTGTGCAGTTTAGACACTCTTTGGCTTGTGGTAGCTTTTCTGATCTGTAGTTTTATAAAGGGTCTGTAGTTTTGATACTATCCATCATTGAAATAATGGACATTGTATCGTTTTAAAACATGTGGTATCAAACAGTATTGAACATTTTTGAAGTATCCAAAATTTTGACAACCTTAAAATGTACCTTAAAATGTATTCAGAAGTATTTTACTTCAGGAAAATGTGAAAGAACAAAGTAGAGTGAATGCCTCTTCTTCATGTCTGTTCCATATCATTAACTTTGCAGCTTTTTACTTCAGTCAAATCAAGCACGCCACACTTTAATATGTGCCCTGTTGTCACAGTGGCACACATCAATCCCACAAACCTTCTGAGGTTATAAACACTAAAATAACAATCGCAACAACATAGTATGATGCTGGTATCATTGGTCATCCATAATAAGTTCAGCAAAAACAAAATATAGATAGCAATAGTTGCCATAAATCAAAAAATAAAAATTGAATTTTGCAGCAACAATTTTGCCATGTTTAGTCTTCCGTCATGGTATGTATTGTAAAATGTTTCATGAATGAGTTTACTTTGTATTTATTGACTCAATTCTGCAGCCAATACCTGACATTCTTTTGTCTGTATATAGGAGAGCAACATTTTATGTTATTTAGTGAGTGTCTGTTTAAAGGGGTGTACAACAAACCTGAGCTTTGTAGTTTTAAATGTAGCAACAATTTTTGAGCAATTAATCATTCAGTTTGCTTTTTAGCATCATCTTATCCAGCTACACTTTGTGCTGATAACTCTTTACAAGCAAATCAAACCTACTGCCACTCCCGTTTTAAAGTGATATCGCTGAATGTATTTGTATTGATTTTCATGTGTTTTATAGTGTGCTCCTTTTGTGTCTAGCCATTTAACCTCATGAGCTTTAGTTTCTTTTAAATTGGGCACCTCTTGTGTTTACCTCTGTAACAATAGTTGTGTTATTAGTCTTGCCTTTTTGTGCACTGAATTAATAAACTTACTTGATACCAATCATTGATCAGAGGTTGTTTTTTTATTTTTCCAACTTTCATGTATCGAATCATAAGAATATAATTTTAGCAACAAACTTCACACAAAAAAATCTATATCACAGATTTGCAAATTTTTGAATTAACAGTCACACATGTATATTGATTTTTTATGAATGTTTACATATATAAATCAGTGCAGCTTTAACCCGTTAAATTCTTCCTATCCAAGATTAGACATTAAAAAAACGATGTTTCTGTCTTTCATTGCTGCTGTGTTTTTATCAGGACTCCAGTCATTCTTAGCTCTGACATTAGCCTGTTAGTATCTTTTATATTTGCTGCGCTTGTCCTTTTGGGCTGCAGCCTCGTTCGCCTTGCAGGAGAGCCCACTGCAGCTGTGAGATCTAACTCTGGTCTGCATAATCCTACAAAAAGGTTTGGCCCAGGTTGATCTCTGATATTTGTCACTGCAGGACACTGATTGGGTGAAACAAGAGTGTGTTTTGTTTTTGATGATGATTTTGAGTCACATTTACCTACAGAAAAGGGGCTGTTCTCAGGAGTTTGTTTTCTCTGCAAATCACTTTTTCTGTCAATTGACTCCTTCTGTGTCGTTGTGTTTAAAGTAAGTAAACGCACCGCTAGGTTCAGAGAACCATGAGTAGGAGAGACTTTGGTGTTTGAATTTCTAAGTGCCACTCCAGGAACAAACAGGTCCTTTAAGTTATTTTCTGCTGGTTTTGCATGCTCACTGTAAAGGCAGGAGGCCAACTTAGCTGGAGTCTTCCTTTCACTACTTCTCCAAGTCAAAGGATTATAAATGACAAATCCATCCAAGGGGCAGCAGTTGGTCTTCAGCAGGATCCTGTCCACACAATCGATGTGAAACTGAGGCATGGGGGGGGGGGTGAGAGAGGAGGTGGTTCTGATTTGCGTCACATTTCTTTAAATCATTATGTTGTTATGTTTAATCATCTCAGACTGAGTTGTTGTTGTTTTTTTTAGTTCAGGTTGGAAGGAACAGAAGTTTTTCTCTCATGTTAAAAAATAAATAATCCAAATCCTCGGATTTAGTACCAACACTTTCAGCATTGTTTACATTTATACTTTTGGTGTATTCAAACACAAACAGAGTATGTTTACCTTGTGATGGCAGGGCAGAGTTCGGACATGCTGGCCCAGGTTAAAGTCTTGCAGGCAGATGCGACACTGCAGCCCTACATCTAAGAGCCGAGACCTGGGTCTCACCTTGACTGTAGGAAGACAGGCCAGGATGTTTTCTGGAAGAAGGTCCGCAGCTACTGGGATGACGCTATGTAAGAGGATAGGATGAAGCATACACTGATGGTATTTTTCTGTACTCAGTGAGTTTTTTTTATAAAGGTATAAAGAGTGAACAGATTTTGAATCAGAGCTTTGAAATTTTAAATCTGTATTTAATAATTTACCTGTCATTTAATGAAGGACAGCTTGCGCCGGTTGGTTCGTCACTCAAGTCTTCCACAAGGTGCCACATTTCTTTCCTTTTCTGTTTATGGTTAAATCAGGGTTTTTATCTTAAAGAATGTTTAATAAATGCCACAAGTGGTACAAAGATCACATCAAAGTTTAGCCTTATCTGAATCCTTATTACTTATGTTTATCATCAAAGAAGACTACAGAAGACTGAAGCCTTGGAGAATAGTTAATTTTGTACAAGTTTTATTTTAAAGCTTACTGCTCGAGAGGTGAATAGATGCTGTTGGTGACAGCCCTTCTTTATACAGTCTTCACAGAGATAGAAGTAACTGCAGACTGTACATCTGAAATAATGATAAATGATTAAAAGATTAGATATTAGAGCCCAATATGACTTATATTAATCACATATTCAGCTTACAAAAATACACTGAAATTTACAGGAGAGTACAGGAATAGGACATTGGGAGAGCACAAAGGTTTTCTTATTCATTTTGCATTTGAAGGAAAAGTTGAAATGTTGTGAATAAAGTCAGTCATAGGACTAGCAACAATGAACAATGAAGTAAAATTATCAGGGAAAGTTTATTTATTATTTTTATTATCACAAAATGAGTTATGGCAGCTACTTGCTTACTTGAAACATTTGCCGATGACTGGGCAGACCAGACAGCTGTTACAGAGAACTCCCAGGTGTCTCTCTGGCTTCTCTCTTTCTGCAGCAGTGAAGAGCTGGGCTGTGTTTCTCACCTGCTCCTGGAGCAGCTTCAAAGAGCTGAAATCCTCCCTGCACAGCGGGCACTTCACTGTTTCCTCTTCATCTGAGAGTCTCTGGTGATCTGCCCACACCTTCATGCAGGAGATGTGGATGTTGTTGCCACAACCAAACCTGAGAGAGACAAGGAAAACAAAAAAAAATGCATCTGCACAATGCTGAAAATAAACATTGCCCAGAGCATTACTTTGTTATTGAATGAAATGTCCTGTTTTTAAATATCAGGAGATTTGAACATCCGAAAATCTGTGCTTGTTCTTTCCTTCAAACACGTGCCGTATGTCAACGGTTGGATGTGCTTTATTGGAACTCATAATACTATGAGGTTATGTTCTGGCCAGTAGTGCAACAAAAGTTGACTAAAACAGCTTATGTCAGCCTGAAAAATGACTAAAGAATACAATGACAGTGTAAATCCCCGTCCAAAATCGCCCACACACCTGCAGTAACACACAGGCTGTTTTTTCTCCAGCAGCTCCTCTTGGCAGATAGGACACACATCCTGGCCTTCGATAACTTTCCGGCACACACTTCCAGCATCCCCGCCCGTGGCAGGTTGGCTCAGGGTTCCCGAAGCAGCAAACGGATCATTTTCCATCCGGTGGGCTTTGGCTTGGTGTAAACCATGGAGCACCTCCAAGATCTGTCTCTCCACAAGTCCAGGCTGGAATGAATCTGGAGCAGAGTTATTTTTAAGACTGCATGTCAACAGAAGAACATGGACAAGGCAAGGTCAGTTCTTTGAACTTTCAATGAACTTAAAGTACAAGCTCTAATAAACCAAATACAGTTCTAAATCACTTTTTCAAGTCTCTTTTCCAAGTTTGAATAATGCAGCTGCACTATAAGAAGAAAATGCAATGTTTTTTCTCACTTCATTAAAGCAACTCACATTCATGTTCTCTGGGCAGCCTGAATTTCCGTAGTAAAACCCTGTAAAAATGTAATTGACATTTTCATTCCAGGTCTATTATGGCTTGCTTAGAAATTAATATCACATACACATTAACATAATTTCTGTCTTTTAAAAGGATCTTATATTCAGTAACTTTTTAAGTGTATTTGCCTTAACTTAAATACGTATTGTATTATAACCAAATACGTCCAAGATCAAAACAACTAAACAGTACACCAGGTCAAAAACCCTAACAACTATTATTTTTCAGTATCAATCCCTGAACAGCAGACACTATTTGGTGCAGGTTGAACAGAAACTAGAAACCAATTCCTGAAAAACATCAATATTTTTCCAGAACATATGGTTTAGCACGTTATAATATATCATATTAAATAACATTTCTGTACTTGCTTGTCCGAGTGCATTAACTGTCAGATTGAAGATGAAGATAAGTTTTATTAATTTTTTTGCTGTTTTTACATGCTTTAGTCTTAATGATACATTTTACACAAAATGTCTCTGTCTGCGTTATACGTACCAGCAGATGTGTTTGCATGGCTCCTGCTCCCTTGTAAACACAGGACATGTGCAGTTATGTGGGTTACCCAAGCACACCTGAAACATAAACAGGACAATATTATCTTGGAGTAAAGACACAAAACTTTATTTTTTTATTTTTTTATCATGACTATCCTGAATCACAGAATGATTCACCTTGAAGTTTTTGGCCTCTCCCTCCTCTCTGAGCAGGAATCCTGTAGGTCCGAAGGACTTCAGGAGAAATATAGTTGTGTTCAGGGCTTGGTCTTGGTGGAAACTCACTGCGTTGCTAACTGTGTTCCTCCAGGTGATTTTCCTGAACATTGTGTCACTGTAGAATACAGATGCTCATCATTTATTGAACATGTGATAATGAAAAGCAGGATGCAGATGATCTAGAACTGCTTGTAGGCAGATGATGGATTGATAACACCGGACACAATTAGTGTGGCAGATGCTTCACTTTGTACAGTTAAAAAGTACAGTTCTTTGTACAGTGTTTCTATTTTATACTAGGCAAAACTTTTACTTTACGAAAATTTCCATTATTTTTTTCATCGCTAAACTATTTACATTTTTGTACAGGACGTTTGCTTTCCAAAAGAATCATATACGTCCTTTATTACAAATGTACCCTCAACTGTGTTACATACTAAGACATTAAATTCCTCTTTCGTGTTTTCTTAGTTTTAAATCTGCACGATATATACCGTAAACATTATGAAATGAGCAATATGGCAAAATTAGTACTTCTGGGAACATTTTTAATCGAGGACTTTTATTGGTAGTGGTGTTTTTTTCGTGCTCACCAACTTTAAGAGGAAACCGAGACAGGGTGCGTTCGAATTGTCCCTCCTATCTCCTATCACTATCCACTTTACCTTAACCCCGGGGAAAACGTCATGAGGTTAAGGAAAGATGTAAGGAGAATTCATAAAGGACTTAGGGAAAGGCGATCGCGTTGCTCTGACAATCCGACCACATTTCCACTAGGCCACCTAATTAAATGCGACGGGCCGGCGGAGGTTAATGACGTGGGTCCGCCGTGTTGAAACTACAATGTTCCGTAAATGGACTACAAAAAGCGCGTCTAAAAAACTTTCCCCTGTGCCTTCTTGCCGGTGAAATAATCCTAATTAACGCAAAATTGGGATTGAAATAAAAGCAATATAGACTACCAGGCTACAAGTAACAAAAGTGAAACCATCAGCTTCCTTTCCACTCAGAAATCAACATCAAAATAAATATGATTGTATGAAATTAATTGTTACATTAATGCAAGATATAGCCTACACATAATGTTTTAAGCATACAAATGTACAACTGCACAAATTTTTACTTATTTATAAAACTGTTCTCGGAGTATTTTGTTTATTCTACCTTGTTTACTCCCCAGTTTTAACATAGCCGCATGTAAAACAATTTGAAAGAATGCAACCGACGGTGTGGACCATAGACTGTAAAAGTGTTGACGTTGCTAGCTAGCCAAACATTAGCTCATTCAGCTAATTAAGGGTAGACACACCTGGCCACTACTTCCCGTTAGCGCGCTCGTTTGATGTCTCAATTTATTCAGGCACGAGTTGAAAATAGTGAAAACTCTTTTAACTCGTTTCAAAAACCTACCTCAGAGGTATTTGTCGACATATTCTCCTAAAACCAGCCTCAACTTTTACTGCACCAGCATACTTGACAAGAGGAAGGCTCCAGGACGATTGCTACCGTAGTCATGGTAACCTGTTGCCTAGGAGATTTTGACCAGTAGAGGGCGTCATTGCTAATGGAAATTACCTCAACTCTCGTTTTACTGTTTTGATAAAAAAGGATATTTTTTCTATCTTTTATTCCATGTGTCTAATATATTTCACAGCCAATCAGCACTTATATGTATGGTACAATTATTTATCGCATAGATTATTTGTGGTCTTTTTTTCAGCTATTTCCATGAATATTTGAGTAAATATTAGTAAAATGAATAGCGACCTAAAGCCATATTTATCACAAAAAGCATTATATTTGTATGTGTACTTTTTTACTATTAATAATATAGAATATGAAAGTTATTAATAATATGAGTATGGTATGATGTCCATTTTATTGTAGGATGGCCCTCCGTGATGTGACGTCATCGCCAGCCTTTTTCAGTTTTCCTCAGGACAGCTCAGTATCGCCTCAGACACCGCTGTGAAACACACTCCGGAGGACTACTCTTGAAGAAATCCCAACAACAGAAATTTCTTTTGTCCTTTTCTAAACTCTCAGAAGAGGATTAATCTTCAAGAAGAAGCAAACACTGTGTTTGTTGGTTTTCTGCTCCTGCAAAGGTAAGTATCAATATTGTTTTCAGCATGAAAAAATGTGATTACAGATCCATATTCAAATGATTTTATTTTAATGCAAAATGCTTAAAAATGTCATTTTGAAAGGCAATACAAGGAAAACCAAAAGATGTTATTGGTTAGAATCACATAGGTTAAGATGTATCTGATAAAATTATAAAGAAGACATCTTAACTTTGCTGTAGCAGGGTCAAAAGTGGTGACAATCAACCCAAATGTGTTATATTGAGTGAAATTCAAGGGTTTTATCCCATAAAAAAGTAATATTTTTTCCAGTGGGTTCTGATTTCCTATAGATTCTAAATAGTCCAGATAGTAAATAAGGGATTTTATTCAAAATGCATTCTTCGATATTATCAAAAAACTTATCCCACCTGCAATTCTGTCCCATCTCACAGCAAAATCTGCTCACATGGCAGGTGATGAGATATGTTTTAATGTGTTTTTCTAGACCAATGTGTTTCTAATAAAGAACACTTTGCATATTAAAGTGTGCATATCCTTTTCTTCTCATACAAATGGCCCACACAAGGGAGTAATGTCCCTTCGAGTTATAAAGTGTCTTTGCAGGCTGTCAGGGAGATACAATATTTGGGTTTGGGTGTTTGAGATGTTAATCTAACAAACTGACAAAGATTTCCTGAATAAGCAGTGAATAAAATATTTCATAAGAAGTGAGACAGATGAATGATAAGTAGTGGTGGTTCATCATTATAGACATTTCAAACTAAATATATGAAATACTTGAGACTAAATCAGTGCTTATTTAAAACCTCGTTTTAGGTTGTCTTTCAATTTGTGAGGGATTTATATGTAAAGTTCTTATAACCTAATTAATAAGGATGGGAAATGGAAACTATTGTTTAAGGCAGGTGGCATGCAGATACATTATAATACTTTTAAATGTAAAAAAAAAAATACAATCATATATTCTGAAGAACTTTTCCTTCAGCAAATGTCAATATTTACCCTTTCCAAACAAACACAATCCCGTCTTGGATCATGTTCTTGCAACAACTACCTGCTTGTCTCTCCATTTGAAGTCAATTTAAACATCATGTTTTATATTTTCTATCGATTACATTATTATTGTGCAGCTTTTCCTTTAGACTCTATTTGAAAGGAAGGTTTCCATGCACAATAAATCTTATCTATTACAGTACATCCCTTGTAGTACATCCCTTGTACCTTTAACAACAGTGGATAGTATGACTGTGCAGAAAGAATATGACAGAAAATGTGTCAGGGAAAGTTGAAACTGTTGTACTTACAAAAACTAGAGCTACTGAAACAAGATGTCTACGGCTACTTTTTCTTTTACTGCTTTTACTATTTCTACAACATAACTTAACTGTCATACTTTCCACTGTTTTCAATATGACTGGAACACCTTTCTTAACACAGTCTGTGCACTGCACATACTAAACACACATCTAATCATTGTGGAAAAGATGACCTCAGAAATATGCTGCAACACTGCTTATCTTTTACTATGATGAATTGAATTAGATTGCATTGAAAGAAGTTGCATTCATCCTTTTTATTGTTATGTTAACATTGATTTTAAGTTCTTTATTGTGAATAAGAGTGTTTGCTGCACATGCTCTCCCTACATTTTCCATATTGATGCATTTATTGGCTAATCTTTGGTTTAACTTGCTCAACATGCATGATAAGCATGCAGGAAAGAAGCTGTGGGGAACAGAGGAAGTAAAATCTGGCCAAATCTGTAACCGCAACATCTAAAATAAGGGGGAGAGCTGCCTTTTCTAATGTGTTTAAAATATTATATTTTATTTATTTAAAAAGGTTTTTGGGCACGGGTGGGCATTGTTTTCCAGTAGGAATGAAGTAAAAGACAAAAAGAACAAAGAAACACTTTATTTACATGCAACATATAGCTTGTATGTGACGCGGTGTAGAGCACGTGAACCAGAGTTTGTATCCAGCTGCTGCAGCTCAGGAAGCATTTTTATCATTGAGCTCAGAGGGAAAATATTTTGGACTGTGCCAACACTTTAACATGTTCCTCCAAAATGCATAAAGATAACTTCTGTGAAATCTAACAACAAAGTTTTGCCAACCTCCCTCAGATTACTGGAGGTGATCAGAAGACAGATGGATCTCCACTTCTTGATGTTTTCCCTGGTCCTGATTTCACTCAACGAGGTAGCTTTGGTGGTGTTTTATGAATTACTTTGCTGTTGTTTTTTGGAATCTTTTGTCGATTCAACCTAAATATCAAGGTGATTTTTTTAGTTTTAAAGCATGTTAATTTGATCAGAATTGACGGAAATGTCCCTGAGCTGAAGTGAGAAGTACAAAATTCATGATAAACTGTTGGAAACCACTACAGATTACGTTTTTTCAACTTTCCACTACATTTTTTATTTTATGTCATTAAATTTCAAATCTAATAGTTGTTGTAATTTATGTTTCTTTAACTCCTGAAATAATGAGCACACACTGGTGACATTACATCAAATATGATCCAAGCACTAAATCTGTGTTTGATCTCTTGTGTTTTATATAGTTTGATCCACAGCCTAATCTCTACAGAGCTCTGTATTTGATTGGTTGAATACTCTAACCCTGATGTTGCAGTCCTTAAAGCTGCACATAAATCAATTCCTGTAACACTTCCAGGAAGTCGATTGACTTGTGAAAAACAGAAGAAAAAAAGAATCGTCAAAATCGAAGAAGCAAAGACTGAGATATACCAACCTTAAGGTCCTGATATGGGTCACAACTTGATCCTACATTTCCCATAATGCAACAGAAGAATGTGTCTCCTTAGCCTCCTGTCCTCATCTCAAGTCAACCTGTGTGATAGATCCAGGCTTTTAGCTCCAAACAGTTGCAGAAGACGTTATAATAGTGACAGTTTAATGCTAAAATGTATCTATCTATCTTCATCACGCATCTGATTTTGTATGTTTGTGTGTGTTTGCATGCTTTATTTCCATAACCCCAGCTGCTCGTGGTGGCGAGTCCTAATGAAGATAACTACCAGGAGCATCTATATCATCAAGGTGAACATCAGGCGACACGAAACCAGATCGCGACGGCTCAGTACGAATGTTTCCAACGAATCGTGACACAGTCGCAACGCAAACGCAACGCAATAGGTGAGAAGAGACCGCGTTTGAACATTTGTGGAGTAATACGAAGTCACTCTGACAGCAGCGTGTGTGTGTGTTTTGTCGTCTGCAGGTTTAGAGTGCAACACGACGTGGGACGGCTGGCTGTGCTGGGATGAGACTGTCGCCGGAGTGATGACGGTGCAGGGCTGTCCAGACTACTTCAAAGACTTTGATCCTAACGGTAAACTTCTGCAACACGAGACATTTGTTTCAGTTCAGAAACAATATCTTAGAAGGACAGGTCCGATTTTCTTTTTTTTTTGCAGCGGTATTGTACGAGGTACTTCTTTGATGCAACAAAGGCTATTTAGTTAAAACCTACTTTTTGTCAACAGCGATGGCGTCCAAAGTGTGCTCAGAGACGGGCGAGTGGGGACGACACCCGGAGAGCAACAGGACGTGGACAAACTTCACAAACTGCAAAGCAAACATGACACATCACGGGGCAGTAAGGACGAATAAAAACAGTCGTCAAATATTTATTAATTATTCATTTATAAGTATTAATCAATCAGATTTTACTGACATTGTTTAACTGACTACAGGCGGCGATGACTCACTTCTACATGGTGATGATTGGTCACGGCCTGTCGCTGGTTTCACTGCTGATATCACTCACAATATTCTTCCATTTTAAGTAAGTCAGTCTTCTTTGTTTCCCATTTGTATTCAAACAAACTATAAATAATGTGGATGATATCAAAATCATCAGAGGGAACAAAATCCTGGTGTGCAGAGTTTTACAAAGTTGAGAGGTTTAAGATGTTTAAGCTGATAAGTGGAGATTAATCTGTGTTGATATTGTGCATAATTACCACGATAGCTGCAGGGAAACATGTTTTATTCAACAAGACATAATGAGAAAGCACACAACATAAACTGCAGACTCATTTAGAAATCAAATCAATTAACATTTATAAAGCTATGAGGGATGACTGATTAGAAAAAACAACAACTTCAGGTATGTTTTATCCAGACGTATTCACTTTCACACCGTGTTTTAAAGGGCTGCTGCAGCAACAGATGCTTCAAAAATTGATAATCAAGGGTACTGGTGAGATAATAATCCATAAAATGTGACGTTATTTTATTGACAAGTTGTCAGAGAATACGATTACTCTGATGTTCTTTCATACTTTATTTTCTCTTCCATACTGGGAGGGTAGGAAAGTGATGTTAAGGACCTCTTATTTTGCATTTTTACAGAATGGAGCATTAATACGTCATGTCTTTGGACCTTTGGTTGCCTTTATAGGCTTGTAGATATTTCTTCACTGTATTAACAATGCACAGATGCAATTTTTAGATTTGGAATCAGCGTTATATTCGATATTTTGAGCTGATTTAATGGAAAATTCATGAATTAAACGATTGAAAGGTCAGATTGTATGTGTCTAACGTTTGAACTTTCTTCCTCTGCCCTCAGGAGTCTGAGCTGCCAGAGAATAACGCTCCACAAAAACCTCTTCCTCTCATTCGTGCTGAACTCAGTCATCACCGTCGTCTGGCTCACGACAGTTGTAAAAAAACAGGGACACACTTACAACGATTCTGTGAGTGAAACTATCCTGACACTGGTTAGAATGAAAAGATTTCTATTTACACATCACAGCTCACAGTGACTTGTCTTTGCAGGACAGCTGTAAACTGCTCATGTTTGTCCACCTGTACCTGCTGAGCTGTAACTACTTCTGGATGCTCTGCGAGGGGATCTACCTGCACACTCTGATCGTGGTGGCGGTGTTCGCAGAGAAGCAGCACCTCGTGTGGTATTATCTGCTGGGTTGGGGTAAGAAAAGAACATGTTTGATGACGCACATTTCACTCTCTTTCACTTAATTCTCATGGAAATCCTGCTTTGATTTGCAGGATTTCCACTCATACCAGCAGTGATCCATTCAATAGCACGTCACTTCTACTACAATGACAAGTGAGTGTTTTGTAAAGATGTAACTTCACCTGAATCACGTGTCTCTTTTCTGCATAATGAAATGATCTAATCGTTACTTTCACAGATGTTGGGTGAGCTCAGGTACGTCCCTGCTGTACATAATCCACGGACCTATCTGTGCTGCATTAGTGGTAAGCAAAGAAAACTCCATCATCTCTTTCATGTCAATCATTCTTGTGAATAAATACGGAGATCTTGGTGGCGATTAAGCAGGCGATTGATCCACACTGTTGCAATGTAAGCATTATCTTCCCTTTGCCCTTTTTGACTCCAGGTGAATCTCTTCTTCCTGCTGAACATCGTCCGGGTTCTCATCACCAAGCTGAGGGTGACGCACCAGGCCGAGTCGAGCCTTTACATGCGGGCGGTGAGAGCCACACTGATCCTCATCCCTCTGCTCGGCATCCAGTTTGTCCTGCTGCCCTACAAACCCCAGGACCACTGGGTCTCTGAGATCTACCTGTACGTCATGGAGATCCTCATGCACTACCAGGTCTGTGAGCACTGCCAGCAATGACAACAAACAAGAATCACCAGAACAGATATTTAAACCTTATTTGGCTACAGATTGGTTGCATAACTTTCAAATGACATTATCCTCGAAAACTTTGCAACAGTGGTTTAAAATTACAAAGATTCCTACAATAACAACATGCACATGTGTTGCTGTAGGGCATATTTTTACACACTGTCATGCAGCTGTTTGGACTTAAAGGATTTCCTAATGTTGTTTATTTTCCTCATGGAACTTTTTTTTTCACGTGCAGGGTCTCTTGGTTTCTACAATATTCTGCTTCTTCAACGGGGAGGTGAGTAACAGCAGATTGTTTTTTGCAGCATCTTATATTTTAAGATTGGATTTTCAATTTTTGATCCACAAATACCCATGAAAGACCCTCTCAACCTATTTGAACAACTAACAAATCAGAAAAATCATTCATTTTGAAGCCCTTAGTCACTTTTTCACTTGTGATTTCATAGATTTTCGTCCCCTTTTGATTTGTATGCATATTTTTAGTCAGATTTGGCCTGAAAATATCAACATAAAAACACAAAACTACATCAAAGATTAACTGAGGTCCTGTAAATTGAGGGGGAGGAAGCATTTTTATGTCAGAACAAAGGGACCTTCTCTCCACTGAAGACCATTTAGATTTAGTGCCCTCTAAATCTAATTAAGGCTCAATTAGATACACACTTAATTAAAAAAAACAATTATTCATGACCTTTCTTTTAGCCTCCTTAACACAAGAATGACCGGTATTCTATCACTACTAGAAAGTCCATAGCGGTCATTTTGACTGTTTACGAATTATTTGCATATCATTTCAATAATCAATATCAAATATAACAATAAATGGATCTGTAATGTTGTGAAAGGTATAATAAACTTCAGGACACAAACATTAAATTCTAATGAATTTGAAATTTGAATAGTTTATTGACAACCACAGGAACAGCAGCCGGCGCTTGTTGCGAATGGGAATGATCTCTGTATCATTCTCAGGTTCAATCTCAGAGCCAGAGTCAGATGAAGTTTCGAGAGACCAGGAGACATCACTTTCCGTATCCGAACCTGCGCCTCCATCAGACTCTGCCTCATCAAGGCTCTGGAGCATGGCTAAAGCCTCTGTGGCAGCAATCCTCCTCCTTCCTGACATTTCGTTCTATTCTGTTCTAAATCAGATCCTAATTTACTCTATTTAGCCTTTTCAATGTTAATTAATTCAAATGAATGTCTTCTATTCTTTCTATATGGTTTTAGGCGGGTAAACTTTCTTTCCTCCTTGTGTGCACAGTTAAGATTACATCTCAGATAGCGACACGGAGAGACATTAACAGTCAGAGACAGACAGGGCGGAGCTCAGACAGACAGGGGAGTTTTTTAAAATGATGCTGTCTGTGTTTTCTGCTCTCTCTCAGTAAAAGTTAGTATCAAGCCTCTCCACCTGAAGCTCACCTGTTGTGATAACTGAATTTATAGGGATTAGGCTAAACAGTGTTACAAAGCAGCAGGCAGGTGAGAGTGAGTAACCATGGTGACTGTCTGTCTGTCAATCAACAATGTCCCGCCCCCTCTATGAATTAAACTCTTCTTTCAGTAAAACTTACTTTGATCATGTGTCACAGAATGAACACATTCTGTATTACATTTGATTATATATAAACTAAACTAAATGATGTCATAAAAAACAACAAAGGCTGCAGAGCCTGTATGAAGCTACAGCTGTAGGAACTCTGCAGGGCTAAAATAGAACAGAAACACAAGAACTCGAAGTCTACATGTTTTTAAATGAATGCATCACTGCGTGAAAATGTTCCTGATGAACATAAAAAGATGACACATAACTAAATCATAATTTCAAAGTGGGGAGGAAAACCTTCAAATTGTGCATAAATATTGATCTAATCAGGGGAAAGACATTTCTGATGCTAAAGATGTTCTGGGTGAGAGACCTCCAGACCTCCTACAAATATTTTTTTCAAATAGATTAAACTTGTCAGCGCAGTTTTTGTTCATTTAAAATCATTATACAGGGAAATAAGTTTGGTTGAACTGGTCAGCAACTTACAAATTTGTCTAAAGAACAGTATGAAAAAAATTGTGATAAAATCGTGATCGTGATTTTGCCAAAAAAAAATCGTGATATGATATTTTTCCCATATCGCCCACCTCTACCTTCAAGAGCGGGAAAAAGTAGCGAAAACTGAAATGATACACTGGCTATAATGCATGCAGTCAATATGACCGCTATGGACTTTCAAGGTAGAAATACTCAAAACTCTTTTGTGTTTTGTGTTTTTGATAAAATAACAATGCTAGAATAAAATATAGACACATTTAGGAAAAGTCATGGTCCTGTAGTTACATAGGTTTTATTTTAAGTAAGTTATTACATTGCAAAATTAAAAAACTGTCAAAATGACTGCCTTGGTCTTTCTAGTTGCCGTTTACCCAACAAAAAGACGAGTTCTTCTTTCTGTGTCTTCCTTCAGGTCCAGAGCGTTCTTCGGAGACACTGGAATCAGCAGCGGATGCAGTTCGCCGGCACGTTCGGCAACGCCGACTTCTTCCGCTCGGCCTCCTACGTGGCGTCGTCGCTCACAGAGGTCCACCGCTGCTACAGCATCGAGAGCCACACAGAGCACATGAACGGAAAGAGCTACTCGGACATATTCAGATCGGAAAGCCCTTTCGTGTGAAGGTGGACAGAGATGTTCAGAGTTTACTGCTTCTTTGACTTTTCCCAAGATGTTTTGAAGTCAAAGTTTTCTTGGATTACTTTGACCAAGGACAAAGAACAAACTTTCCTTCTTTTGATGTTTTTCCATCTACCAGCTGAAAACAACACCTTTTATTTTTTTCCCTACAACTATAACCTAAATGGAGGAGCTCAAGATGGAAGAAACTGTTTCTACATCGTTATTTACTTCCCACAAATATTTAAGTGTCCTCATGTCTGGTGGCAAGACCCGCTGAGTCAGCAACATGTGTCACTGCAAAACATTAGCACAAGGAAGTACTGCTATTGGATCGTGTGGAGCGAGGAGATTTCCTGGATATTTTTAAGGGTATTGAAACGGGTTTTTCGACAAGAATTAAGTGAAATTTCTGAAACTTCCACTGGAACAAAATGCATTTCAGGTTTTAGTTGTAGGCACATAAATCTCATGTGTAGCAAAACTAAAGGCACTTACAGTTAGAGTTAGCCCTTTGCTAGCTTAAATAATATAGGAGGAGGTGTCAGTCACCAGAATAAGACATAAAAAATGTAAAGATTGAGAAGTGATAAATAGCTACAGAGAACGTAAAGTATGTTTTCTGTGGTGAGTAAAACTAGTACACTCACACAAGTGAATACAAATGAACAGTAGCTTGCTGTATGCTAAGTGCTGCTCTTGCTTAGCAACATGCAAACTCAACATTTAGGCTCAAAGCATCCTATAAGGGTTTCTATAAAGCTACAGTAAAAGTAATAATGAAGTTCACAGTGAAAAGTTTTCAGGCACATAAACTTACATAGACTTGAGTATCCTGCTTTTGATTTGCATATAAACATCATATCACAAATTCAGGAAATGGGATTTTGAGAATCCCCATTTTTGCTACCTGGAGAACTCCAAAAGAAAACAGGATACTGTGGCATGTATACGTCTTACCCTTGTTTGTAACAGCTGCAGATTACCTGTGCAGCGTTTGTGGCCAGCTGAGGCCAATGCCAGCAGAGTTTTATAGGCCAGAAAAGATATAGGCTAGTTATGTTGCTATGGTTACTCATCTTAGATACCTTCTGCAGAGGCATTAATTTGGAACTATGAACAGACTGTTTACCTGGAACTACTTTCATCGGTGTCCAAATAACAAAAGTTGATGGACACCCACGTGACACCCTTCAGCCAATCAGAATCGAGTATTCACCAAGACCATGGTATAACTTAATATAATTGGATAAGACGGGAGAAGGCAACAAACTGCTTACCTATCATAGTTTGTAGAGAACAGGCTACAGGACGCCGGGTTCCCACGTACATGTATGGCGGAGCAAGTTGGAAAATACGGAAGAAACACTTTACTTCATGGCCAAACATCAGAACAATGAAGTGGCTCTGATCCAGCAACTTTAATATTTAACTAAATCTTTGGCAAGTTGCTTGGCCATTGTCCGCTGGCCACTACTGCAGACGGTGGTGTTGATGTCGGCTTGTGTTGTAAAAAAGACACCTGCACAAAAAAACATGCAGTAATCAAAAACATGGATACTACTATTTATCATGTAAGGGATATGAATATCAGGTTTCTCTGTGTGCATGTAAACACCATATCCTGAATATGATCCAAACCGGGGATATAATCGGGGATACTCAAGTCCTTGTGAACACACTTTTCAGCCTGACTGTTATTTTATCCTTAAAACATATTGTTCAAAAATGCTGGAGACATGATGATGTGATTGTCACAGAGGAAACTGTTACTGAAAAGTATGTGTGTGTGTGTGTGTTTGTACATATATTTGTTTGTGTAAGAATACGACATATATCAAGACATTAAGTATACATACAACTTTGTGTTTAGACAGCCTTTGTATATGCTTTCATTCAGAACACGATGCTATCCAGCCTGGTTAATTATCATTCATTATTATTATCTATTCATATAAAATAGTTAATTAAACGTTAAGAGATGAATCCTGTGAAGATATTGGTGTCCAGGAAACAGATTCAGCAGGAACTGAGTCATGTTGATAAATGAAACTTATGATTATCATTAGTAGCGCCCTTTTTCGTAAAATTCAGGAACTCCACAACTTGAGTGAAGATAGTCTCCCACGTGACACCCTGCTGAAGTAAGATTAAAGATTTAATTTCCTGTTACAAACTCTGATAAGTGAAGAGCTGCTGGTTTCAGCTTCAAAAAACAGAGAGTTACAGATCAGCGTCTCAGGAACAAAAAACTTCCTGTGGCTTTATGTAATCCACCAATTAAAAAATACATTTAAAGTGGGGCAGCAAAATAAATCCTCATTATCTCTCATTATCACTATCACAAGAAACACATCACAAAGGTCTGAATTTAGTAAATAAGAAAATGTATCTTTGCAAACAAGCACTGCTTCCTCACTCAACATGTGAGCATTTGACATGCTCTCAACATATTCATGCAGTTTTACAAAACTCAAGCAGGCTACCAGATTCCCTCAGAGTGATTGTCGCAAATTGAGCGGTAACAAAAATGATTTATTTATTTTAGGTTCATGAGAAACATGTTGCTAAAGCTAAAGCTAACATGGACTCTTTAGTATAAGTTTATTTATCTCGCTTCATCTCATTATCATGGTATCAAAAAACTGTATTGCATGTCACTGCATGTTTTTTCGGTCAGCCCTGATGTAAAGTAATAGTTCGACTTGAAGCTACAGCCAAGAGCTTCTCAAAGCTTAGCATAAGACTCCAGCGGTGAACGGCTAGCCAACCTTTGCGTCAGTGCAAAAAAAACCTTTGCGCTTACTTGTAAACACAAAATATCGTCAAGTATTTTAAAAATGTCGTACTATTCCTGCTATGTACAGCACTTAACCCTTAACTATTACCTCCAAACAAAGCTGACGATCATTTTGTACGTGCTCTCTTACACTGGACAAATTTGTTTTTCTTTGTGCTAGCATTAATGTCTAAAGCAAAAATAGGAAGTTTTAGAAAAAAAACACTGTCTGTTAAGATTGCTAGATTGGCTCGAAAGCTCTCCAATTGCCACATTATGTCCATAAGTATAATTTTGATTTTAGCATTAGCATTTAGCATTAAAGCTAACTGGTTGTTTCCCGCCATTTTCAAGTCATTATGGTAAACTAAGCTGAAGAACTTCTGGCTATGGCGTTAAGTTCATTTTGACAGAACAAATAAAAAGTGATCTCAATCTTCTTATTAAATTAAAATATCTTCAAATATCTCGTCATTGAACCTCACGCACAAATATTTTATCTCTAATATATTTTCCCATTACAACAAACAATCTTTATGTTAACAGTTGATGCATATTAAAACCAGATGTGTGTTTTTGAGGATTATTCTCTTGGGTCTGAATCTCATTTCCATCTTTGTAACATAGCTTTGTCAACAATTCCCACCAGTGCTTGTTTGTACTGAAGACAAAATGCTGTAAATAAAAACAAGCTGCTTCCAGATGAGGTTCCTAGAAAGGATTCGCTGTTGTTGTGTTTCTTTCCCTAATGTCTTCCGTTCATGTTTCATTCCCCTCCAAGACAAATGCAAGACAATCTGTAAGTTTATTTTCTTTCCCAGATATTTAATCCAGGGTGGGATTTCCTCGTATGACCTTAGACAACACTACCCACTAAAATTAATGTTGTTTCCAGACAAAGCAGGGCGTGTTGCTCTCTGTTCCTCATCCAAAACGTGAAGCGACCAGGGGCAATTAGGTAGTCCCAGCGGAAAAGTGCTATATCTGTGCTTTCTGTGCATCATTCATCAAACACAGGCTGTAAAAGCATTTAACATTTATCTTTGAAAGATCTGTAAAAAAAAAAAGAGCACAGGGTAATCCGAAGCATGTGTACATTGTGCGTGACTGTTGATCATTGCAAGTAATATTTACGAGCCCTTTGCCTGCCTTTCAGTCCACAAAGAATTCTGGTAAATGCGGTTTTGGATGATGCATGATAAGTGCGATGTAGTGCATGAAATATCTGATGTTTTTACAACATAACAAATGTAAGTTGCACCCTGTTGCATCAAAGTGAAAACAGTTTTGGGGAAATTTTTTTTTTTTGTTTTCTAATCAAGACACTACCCGTAAAAAGTCCCACCTCCCTCTTCTGTAGAAGTCAGAGCAGTGGATGCATTGCACGCTTCCTGTTTCTAAGAATAAATCGCCATTGAACTCTTGATCTACCGGCTCTTGTGCGCTGCAAGCAAACACTTCCTCTGTCTCATGACTAACTCTTGTTTACTGCCTTCACTTCCACATGCTTCATGTTGAAACTTAAAGCGTTTAGCTGATGTTTTGTGTTTAGGACATGCATGTTTATAGCCGCTCTGTGTATTTTTCAGTGACATTTCCACAGGATATTACTGAATGTGTCTCCTGCAGATGTTGGAGTGCAGACATGACAGTAGAAAATAACATAACAAGCCAGTTTTAAAATGTAATAATATCATTAAGGTGCATACTTGTAGTGTCATATGTATACATTTTCTGTCATTTGACATTTTATTTGACATTATATTTCTTAATCGAAGCTTAAAGTAGCATGTGTGATAGTGATGCGGTGTTAAAACTTTACCCATCTTTTCCGTTTGAATTTCAGAGTGTGCCTGCAAAAAAAAAAAGTCCATCACTTCCTGTTGTGTTATGTTCCTTCTGGTACTCTTGCCAACATTTATGCATTTACTGTACAATCTGTTACGTACATTTCACTCTTAATTTGACAATAGCATTAAGCACAACTCAGACTTAAATTAGAGATCTTGATTTTCTTAGTTAGACAAAAAACAAACCCGCCAAAAAAACCGGGAGATCAGGTGATACAAACAAATTAACTAATGGCACTAAAGAAGGTATTCACTCCAGGTCGGGGGGCGTGGAGATTTGAGTTTTCCTTCCTTGGAAAGGCCCACTCGTCACGAGTGCAGGAAAAAATGATGCATAAGAGATGCTGCTCACATTCACAGAAGTGGAATGTTAAGAATGCAAAAGACCCTCCCCAGTTCAGTTTAAACCATTAGTAAAGGAAATTTGAGAAACAAGATGTCATAGTGATGTGACATGGTTTGATTTTCGGGTGATTTTTAGAAATCGAAGCGAACAATCACCACACAATCACTTTCTGTCTGTGATTCTGATGCACTTTGACTTCTTCTAGGGAAGACTAACACACTTCAAACAACAAGCTGAAGCCGTTTCCAGGATTTTCACTTCAATGCAAACCAGAAATTTATGGTTATTCAGACATTGTGTTGCAAATAATCACATCTGGCTCTCTGCGTGAGCCGCCACTTGTGCGTGGGGATGTATCGCTCTTGAGAACAATGGAATGAATTCTTGGCTGTGCTCGAGGGTGTGGAGGGCGTACAGTACAGAGGTTGGGGTGAGCTATTTGGCCCGGCTGTATGGACGTGACCCGGGTCTGGGTGTGCTCACAGGAAGTCTGCGGCTCGCTGCACGGCCCTCTTAAACCGCTGCGGGGTCGTGAATTATCTGAGCAGCTCATCGCGGAGTGATGTCAACACTTGGTTGGCTGGTTGCTGGTTGGTGGTTTGGTGGATGTTATGATCAAATATGTGAAGATGTCATCAGTTAATTTCCAGACTGTTAAACAGGGCCGCAACACTTTTTCTGTTCTTTGCAGCAGTTGGTCATCATACATGTCATAACCTTGAACTTGAGCAGCTCGAATCACGGGCCAGTTTACGAACACATCAAAGTGTGAAAATTAGACACTATAGTTTCTGAAAATTCACAACAACATGGACTTATTCCCATAGTTTGGGGCATAATCTCAACGAAAAAAGGTCAGAATTAAGAAAAGCATAGTCAACCAGGGTTCGCACACACAAACTTTGAAATAGTGACTGCTTGAATTTTTAGCACTCCTTCGCTTCTTAGGAGCTTACCTGTTTTGCAAACAAACATCTCGACAACCTTCCTGAGGGTCTGAGAGGAGCCCAGAATATTGAGATTTTTAAACGCAGTCTTAAAACTCATTTATTCAGTCTGGCTTTTATATAGTGTTTTATATCAATTCAAATCTTAACATTACTGTATTGTCTTTTTATCCTACTACAATTTTAAATATTTCCTCTTATATATTTATTTTAATATCTTGTTGCTTTTATGTGTCTGATTTTATTTTATTGTATTTTATTTTTATACATATATTTTATTTTTAATTCTTATTGGTGTGCATTGGTCTCTCAATGATTTTATAAACTACTTTCTGTCAATAACTTTTCTGCACTCTTGTTAAGCACTTTGAACTGCAATTTAATGTGTCTGAAAGGTGCTATATAAATAAAGTTTGATTGATGATTGATTGATTGATAGCCTGTAGAACTCCCTCCAGGTCAGGGAGGCATCTGCTTGGGGGGCCAGTAGGGACCCTCATGGCTTACATCTAAGCCTTTAAAGGTGTTTCTAAGCTATATGCTAAAAACAGGCACCAGAGCTGTCCAAACCAACATAACTTATCTCACACCCACCTTGCAACACTTTTTCACACAACCCAATTTGGCCTCACCATGACCGTGTCCACATTTTTCTATACCTCCTCTTTTTTCTTTCTTTTCTTATGCACATGGACACCACTGCTGACGGCCATGGCAACCTCAGCTGCACACTGATGATGCTACTGACACTAAATCAAAGTCAGTGGGATTCATCCTCTTGGGACCATGAATGACTAAAAATGACCCTAAAAAGAAAACTTTTGAAGACTGTTCTAGGAATTTTTCTGGTGTTAAGGTTGAAACTACTTTCAAACTACTTACAGCTTTACCTATAAAAACATTAAACCCTTGGAAAATGGATCCAAGTTTTTTTAAACCAGAATTATAATTTAAAGAGCTGAAAAGATGGTTCATTTGAAAGTGTGAACACAAAATGTACTTGACAAGCCAGCAGACATTTGGAACCAAATTCTAGAAAACCTCTCAACGATAAGTCTATTCGAGTTTTAAAGAGCCCAGTTCCTACAGCGCAGGGCGGCTTGCCTGAATCCACTCGTACGAGGTGCTTCGCCGCTCTCTTCTTCAGCATCGTCGTGCCAACAGGAACTCCCTCGCTCCTCTCCCAGTTTCCTGCCATTGTTCTCCCCGCTGCCACCAGGCCCAGGCTCCTCTTAGGATCTGGGAAAAGGTGGGATGTTAAAGCGGCTCATTTCCTTTTCGATCAGCTTCGACCTTAGCTGATGGAGGATGGGTGGGTTTAAGAGTGTGTGTGTGTGTGTGTGTATAGGTAAAAAGGTCGCACCCATCTGAAGTAAAACTGACTTTTGGTGCTAACTTATATGTAATCAATTTTTCTGAATCATGTTCTGTATTAAACACAATCAATCCCCAGTCACCCACCCATCACTCATGACGACGGACACCTGCCGAAACTGTGTTGGGCCTGAAAAATAGTAAAGTTAAGGAGTTATTGTAACTGACTAAAGTAGAGTTTTATTTATTTGCTTGCAGGCTACGTTAGTTTACCTTCAAGACAATTGTTGCCACTTTTGCAGGACCAGATATTTTGCAAAGACACTCATTAAATCCACAAACCAGTGATGCACAAGAGTGTTGAATCTACATGTAAATTGTTCAAAATGGCGTATCTATGTGGGTATTTCCATAAAACCTAATTAAGTATGTAATTAAGGCCAATAGTTGGCATCTTTCTCATGATCTTTTACCAGAGTTTTTAAGTGTTTTGGGGGGGGGGGGGGGGCGCGTCAGCGAGGTGGGGTTGGAGGGTGAACAGGAAGGAAAAGGAGTAGCTGGGAAAGCTCATCGAGGCTCCTCAGCGAACAAGAGACACCCGTCAGGATCTGGGCGTCGCTGCTAAGTCATCTCAGGGTCGTAGACTCTGGGTGAAGCAGGTTCTTCCACGCACATTTCTTGTGCGTGGAGCCATGTATACAGAAATCTAAATGTATGCAGGAGGAGATGAAAGGAAGAGAAACAGGAGTGTCCAGCCTTTGTGCTCATATATTTCCTCAGGAAATAAGGGATGACTTCTTCCTCTCTTGAGATAAGAAGGAGGATTATGAAAGCTATGCGGCCTGTTTTTGTAAACCAGCGTCCCCTAATGTCCCTTTTATCTCAAAACAATTATACGGTGTTTATTCATATTAGCTGAAAACACCACTTTGCCTCAACATAGCATCACCAAGCTGTTAGCATGGCTGTTGATTCTTTTTTAAAGCTCCAAAATAATTTGATCCTTAAAGAAATAATAGGAGAACACTTGGATTTAAAGGCTTTTTGTTGAAAACAAACTGTTAGATCAGGTTAGGGCTTTCAGGAAATTGTCTCGGGAAACATTAAAGATATCAATCTCATAAGCCGAGACACAAAAATAGAAGTATATAAAATGGAAACTCGAGCACTGGTTTTGTATTTTATGTAGTTTAGTGTTTGTCTTAACGGTGTTAAGGCCAACTGAATATCTTCACCCACAGCTTCTCGCTTTGTTAAATCTTTCCATGCCAGACATGAAAATAACCAGCCCGGCTAAAAATGACCACCTCCACAGATGTGGAGTGAGCCCGGGCTGCAGGAAATGGTGAGAGTGTCACGTCTTTCGCCGCTTACACAGAGGAGAGGTCGACCCAGAAACATGTGCAGCCTGAACTTTGGCTCCTTTTCTTCCTGTAAGAACGCCTTTTCTCTCCCTCTCTCTAGCGCTCCTATTTTTTTTGCATGCGCTCACAGACACAGATGCATATAGAAACATTGAAATAGTGGATTAAATATGCAGCTAAGACATCTTTTTTTGTAACTACTACAAGGCTTTTTTTGTTGCTTGTGTAAATGATCAATCAGGATGTTACTATATTATGAGAAGTGAGCACAACTGCAGGATGATTAAAGCATAAATCAACCTTTGACCTTTGATCAATGCCTAAAATATCACACTTAAATCTGTATGAATATGTCACAAGACACTATTTCTGCTTTACAGTCGAGCTAATTAAGTACTTTTTCCACCTAAGCTGTCAGGCGAAAGGAGAACTCGGATTTATAAACTTGTAAGGAAAAGCACAATGTCTCCCTCTAGTGTTGGGATGTTTTAGTCGCAGGATTCAGAGCTCGTTTCAACTCACACTTCGCTCTTCATAAAGACAAATTAAGTGTTAATTTCACTTTTGTTGCTTTAGTTTTTGGGACACAGTCATTCCAAAGAAAGACATTTATTCCACATCCATCGTCGACAATAAAACAAATACTTTGCCATTTACAGTCATATGTTGCATTTACAGTTGAAGTTTTAAAAAGGAGATACAGAGATTTTCTGTTGAAGTAGTGAATGAGTTCTTAAACAGAACTTAATAATTTAGGTTCAAGCATGATTTTGATCTTTTATACCGTTAAAATTAAGAACTACACTCGTTTGCAATAAGAACTGTCGACTGTGTCCAAACCTCTGGACGTGCATTCACTGAAAACAAAACTCAAATTAAATCCTTTCATTGCTATTATTCTTCAGTTTTTATGCAAACTGCTTTATTTCTTTGTGTTTTTCCAGGTTTATAATCCATCCACACCCTTCTTAGCACCTTACACATGTCTCTTCCTCCTAAATGCATTCCCCTGTAGAGTACTAGCGCTCTAAATTGTAACTATATTAGTTAGTGAATAAATTATGTCAGATTTTTGGGAGTCACACGCTTCTCAAGTACGCTGTATTGTTTGTTTGGGAAATGCAGCCATTTTTGAAGATGAAGAATTGCAATGAAACTTCTAATCTTCATCGACTCGTGCGCTCACAGGAAGAGGAGTCCTTGCTGTATAACTTTGATGATGTTACTCCTCCTGAAAAAAAAGGCAACTTCTGTCCATCTTGCTTTTTGATTTGTGTTTTATGAGAAGCAAACCGGGCCGATGTCAAGGCCGAACTCCTGATCAGCTTTACCGACGTCCATGGGCGCCAAATCCACGAACGGCAACCTGGCTGAAGTTTGAGTCCTGTACTCAAACACGGTCTTTCCCCACTCTCCGTTTGATGTCTGAGAGAAAAGGAAGTCAGCTCAATCAGAAAATAGGTCTTACAATCCATTTTGAACAATGGTGTCTCTGTGAGGACTTACCGAGCAGCTGTCCTCGATGACGGTGTATCGGAGGCGGTTGTTGCCCTGCGCTCTCAGCTCCTGGCCGTTGAAGCCTTTGAGGACCAGCGCATTCTTCAGGCTGTTGCTCTTCTCTGCTTTGTAAGCGACGCTGTTCCTGCAGTGGTACGTCACGTTCTGGTGCGACTCCTTGGACAAAAGCTGCAGGAGCTTCATCTGGACTGCCACTGCGTTGGGCTGCTCCCCGTTCTTTCCATACTGGAACTGAAATGACATCAAAGTTAGGTTACACCTTCGATGCTTCTCCGTACACATCTCCATAAAATGTTTGTTTCCTGACTTACTTTTCCACTGTTCATGTCCGCTCCAAACCAGATCGGTTTGTTGGCAGTAGGACTGGATTTAGTCCACCAGGCTTTACGGGGAATGTTGGAAGGATTTGCAGAAATGCAGGTCTCTCCAGTTTCCATGTTACAGAAGACCTTGATGGCGTCTTTGGTACTTCCTTGATTTGGATCGATCCAGTACTCCCCTGTTTGAAATGTACATCATTGATTTCATTTTTATGTTGTCATGACGAGCCCAAAAACAGACTTACAAGACACCGATATTTAACAGAAAGAATACAAAGAAGTTTACATTTATCTCCAAGTTTGGGACACAAAATGGCCGACTTATAAGCATAAACATCAAACCAAACCTCACCACTGCTTTTCTGAGGGTAGCATTGCTTGACGTCCTGGCATGTTTTCGCGGGGTTCATCTTGCTGCCGTCAGGACTGCGAATGTTTTGCAGATGTCCGCTGAGGGTCTTCAGAGTGGCGTGGACCCCGGTATCTGCACGCAGCAAGGCCTGGTTCTTATTGGGGAGGGCTTCGTCTCTGTTGATCTCTGGAAGGGGTGGAGGAGGATCAGCAGCCATGTCGTCCTCGACGAACTCCTCGGCTTCAGGAACACCACCGATCCCTTCGTAGTCGTAGGAGGGGACGTAAAGGTCTTCAACGCCCGCGGTGGGAGGTCCAGGGGGGCCTGGAGGGCCGGGCGGGCCGGGGTCACCATGTGGACCCTGATGAAAAGATAATCATGATACCGTGTGAAAGGGATTCTGTCATGCTTGGGGAGGTAACAAAAATAGATAGGGCTTGTCTAAAACTTTAGACTGAGATAAAGAGATCTCAAGAGCTCAATCCAGATGCAACTACTAAAGGTAACAAAGGATCACCTGTTCTCCGAGTTCACCCAGGCTGCCTCTGCTTCCAGGAGCGCCTTGTGGTCCGGGCTGACCGATGTATCCTTCCTTTCCAGGTGGACCCACCACTCCTGGAGGACCCTACACAGTGAAACAGTCACAGATTTGCAAACAAAAATAGGGCAGAGCGGCTTATTTTTATTTGTTGTCAAAATGTTTTTTTGCACTTACTCTCGGGCCAGACGGTCCAACAAAACCTGTAGCTCCTGGCTCTCCGGTTTGACCCTGATATCAAAATGATGGCATTTCATTCTCGTATACTTTCAGTGTTAATGTGCCCAATGTTACACAAACATTTGCATTTTTAAAATACCACAAATCATGCATAGTGCAGGTCCAAAGTTGTTGCTTGAAAGTAACTGAATGAGATGTTGTGACTGCTCCTGAAATTAATTCTGTGTTCTTATTAGAAAAAGGAGAATCATCTCTACCGATGGTTTATACCAAGTGTTCCACATAACAAAAGGTAGTATCTTCAGTTCATTCAAAGTTTTTGCTCACAGTTGTTCCTGGCAGACCGTGGAGCCCGGTGAAACCTCTGTGTCCTTTCTGACCCCTCTCTCCTTGCTCTCCAACTGCTCCCTTCTCTCCCTGAGGTCCTTGAGGGCCCTAAAAACACACAAATCAGCGTCAACAAGCATCAACTCATTGTAGATGTCGATTTAAGAAAAAAGTTGAATTGTCTTTTCGTAAACCAATGAAAAGTTTAAATGTCATGCTTACTAGTTTCCCCCGTACTCCATCTGGTCCCAGGGGTCCAGCTGCACCCCTGCCACCCTTAATTCAAAAGGACATGAGAGATGGCAGGTCAGATTTACACAAGTACTGATTGTATTCAGTTAGAACTGTTTATAATTTTAATGGTGAAACTCACATTTTCTCCAATTGGCCCTGGACCACCTGTAAGCCCCACAGGCCCCTCAGTTCCAGGAGACCCTGTAGTACCAGGCAGACCCTCTTGACCGGGATTACCCCGTTCTCCCTTTAAAAACAAGCACAGATGTGGTTTGTACACACAGGTGAATGTGTGGCACATCCATTTTACATCTTTAAAACAAAACACTCCATATTTTTTATCTCACCCTTTCTCCTACAAGACCATCCTGTCCAGGAGGCCCCTCTGCTCCGGCGAGACCCTGAACAAACACAGAGAATGACATGATGAAGTTACCATGGTAACACAAAGACTACAGCCAGCTGTAAAGATTTGACACAGGACAGTTGATCGTCAGTGAGTTTTCTATCTGAAGTTTGCATACTGACTCTGTCAGTGATATAAAGTCAGAGACGGACAAACCTCAGGTCCCGCGTCTCCTCTTGGCCCCGTGGCTCCGGGTAAACCGACTCCACCAGGAGGTCCTGAGCCTCCTTGAGCTCCAGGAGTTCCGTCTTTTCCTGGTGGACCCTAAGAAACCCATGAACAAAGTTCAATACTAGTTTATGTGATTTAAACAGAATGACTTTGAGAAGGAATACATACAGCAGGACCCGGCAGTCCCAGCATGCCTCGCTCTCCTCTGAGTCCAGGCTGACCCACAATGCCTCGCTGTCCCGTGGTGCCAGCAGGTCCTGGAGGCCCATCGGGACCCTAAAAGACAATCACAAAAGAAGCCAAATAAGTTTTATTTGTGCACAACCGTTGGAAGATCAGCAACTGGAAGGCAGTGAACTCTTCGTACCGAGGGACCGTCCTCTCCAGAGTCACCCTTCTCTCCGGAGCTTCCCGGTGCTCCTGCAGGTCCTCTCTCTCCCTGACGCCCCATAGCTCCTGGCTCTCCTCGAATCCCACCAGGACCTGGCTTTCCTGAAGCACCTATAGGCCCGTCAGCTCCAACAGCACCCTGAAACACACATGATGTTAAGCTTGAAGAACAAGATGATAATTCTTGTGAAAAATGTAAATGCTAAAATAATAAACTCACAAGAGAGCCGACTGGGCCGACTCCTCCAGGTAGTCCAGGGAAACCAGGAGCACCCTGAGGAACGGAAACTTTTTCTCATAAGAATTTAAGTAGAAGAAATAAATCGAAAACCTGTGAGGGTTTAATTTGTCACAGAGGCATTGACCTCACCGTTTGTCCCTGCGTTCCTCTGCCACCTTTCAGTCCTGTTACACCAACAGGTCCCTAAAACACATGAGCACAAGAGTTCACGCTTCTCCTTCCTGACTCAAGACTAAATGACCAAAAATATTCACTCCTAACTTTTTTTCCCCCTCCATGATAAAGCCACTTTCAACGGCACACAAAAAAAATCTCCTTTTGTTTGCTTCTCCTTGAGGCAAACAGTTTTATATCAGAAAATGTCAAACTACACCAACATTTTATTAGAGATATATATTTTTTTACTTTAATTTGATTATAAGATTCATTCGTACAAGCTTATAATATTTATTGGATTATTTAGCAGATATTTAACCGAGTATTCAGAAAGTGATCCCGGGCTTTATTAGATCCATGTTTATTTGTCCCCTGACGTTTGTGATGTGTACCTGCTCTCCTGGTTTCCCAGCCATCCCCTGTGGTCCAGGTGATCCTCCCTCTCCCTTGAGACCTGGCTCACCAGTTTCTCCTTTGACTCCAGGCTGACCATCAGGACCCTGGGAGAGAAACAGGGAGTTGGTTCGTTAGTCGGTTTTTAATCATGCTTTTTGTGTGTGTGGCTTTATCCCATGCATGGTATATGTTGGACAGATTCACTTACAGCAGTTCCTTGGAAACCAGCAGGACCAATTGGACCATTTTCACCAGTAGAACCCTTTAAGTATCATCAAATACACAATTAAGTGCAGAATTAAACTTCAAACATTTAGAGAAAATCCAATAACTGCTCAGTTTAAGTTTGAAATAAAATGTTGTCCTCACAGGTATTCCTCTTGTCCCTCGGCGTCCTGCAGGTCCTGATGGGCCGTGTTCACCCTGAAATAAACAATAAAATCATAAATATAAACCTTAAGGTGTGTGTTTAATTTTAAGGTTAACCAACTGAGTGGTTTTTATAGATGTATGATTGTAAAGCATCAGTTTCGTGAATATATCACATCACCACAATTTACATGGCAGCCATGTTTAACTGATTCTACTGAATGTTACTATTTTATTACTGCTAAAGAACTGCCTTTGTATGGCCAAAACGTGTGCTCACCTTTTCCCCATTGGGTCCACTGGAACCAACAGGTCCAACAGGTCCAGGAAGACCCTTTCATGAAATCAAAAATAAATGAGAAAACATTCAAACACAGTGTATTTGTGTAACAAAAGCCATTTATTTTTGCCACAAACTCGTTGCTTTTTTCTCCAAATCTACGTTATTGTTTGTGTCCGTAATGTTTGGACGACTCACCCGTGCTCCGTCAGCTCCAGCTTTACCCTCGAGGCCTTTGTCTCCGACTGTACCCTGTTAGAAGAAAATATGAAAACCATAGCAGATATTTTGCTCTGCTGAATTAACAGGATGTTAAAAATTGATCTCGTATTCGTTAACTTACTGCGTCTCCTTTCGGGCCTGAGGTTCCTGGTAGCCCTCTCTCTCCTGGCATCCCCTGAAGTCCTGGACCTCCTGGCTCTCCACCAGCACCGGCGGAACCTGCGTTACCCTAAAACACATTTTAAAAAGTATAAAAGGGACACAGTCTGGCTCTTTGTCAAAGATGTTATACATGCAACAGTCAGATTGTCTGCAGTGTTTTGGCTCTAAAGTCTCATTGTCAGGAGTTTAAAGGTTAAAATACCTTTGGTCCATCTGTTCCTGGTCCACCTGGACCACCTTTAGGTCCCTGCAGACCATTGGGTCCAATTTCACCTCTCTCTCCTGGAGGACCTCGCTCTCCCTGCAAGGACAATCAGAGCATGAGAGAAGTACTTTCAGCACTTAAATCAGAATGCATTAACGTGTGACTAAAGGGAGGTCGATTTAAACCCTCTAAAAGAGTGAAAACATTTCTTAACTAAAACAAAATAGCACCTACACCTTCAACCAGTGCTGAAAAATCAACCAGCAAACAGACTTACTCTTATGCCAGTAGCTCCAGCAGACCCGGCCTCTCCAGCAACACCCTGAAAATAAAACAATGTAGGCTCATCGTTAGACATTTGAAGAAACCAAAATGTAATTATTGAAAAAAAAAAAACAACTATTTCTTATCAGTCGTACCTCATCACCTGGCTTTCCTGACTCTCCAGGTGGGCCAGGCTGTCCGGGCAAACCCTAAAAGACACCAATACGATTTTACTTCTGGCCAACATTGAACAACACTATCTGCACATCAGAAAAATAATGTAAATAAATCTGAATGCTTCAGAGGAGTGTGATTGACTCTGTTGGTAGCATTTTGTGGTCTCAGACCTTTTAGTGTGTAGATGATGGTAACTTTATTATATTTAAGGGAAGATCAATAAAAAAAAGAAAAACATCCAACTGGCTGTCTGTTTGACCTCCAGTAATAAATCCAAACTCTTTATATTTAAAGACATTATACCTGGAAACCATGTAATCCCTGTGGTCCCTGCTCTCCTCTCTTTCCTGCAGGACCCTAAGAGACATAAACATAACATCATTTAAACATCATTCAATCAAACCATTTATGATTGAACCGCCTCTCAAACTTGGATGCTTACAGCTGGACCAGTGGGACCGGCCGCTCCCGTCTCTCCATCTTTTCCATTCACACCCTTAAAAACAGAAACAGCATCTATAGCATCCTGTCTGCTTTATTTTGAAATGATCATGAAGAGCTGATGATGTACGCGTGATACGTTTCTACCATGCTGTACTCATTGTAAAACAACGTACCCTTTGGCCTGGAGGCCCGGTGCTGCCAGCCTCTCCGATCTTCCCAGCATCTCCCTAAAAGTGACATCCGAGAAAGTCGTTGTTAGCGCTAAATATGTCACGTGTGTATTTAGGCACAAAGATAGTCAAGGAAAGACTCATACTGACAGTGAAGCCTTTTGGACCTGGCAGGCCCATGTTTCCAGCTGCACCTCGGTTTCCGTTAGGACCAGCTGGCCCCGGTTTGCCATCGTCTCCTGCTGAGCCCTGAGAAGACCAGAAGATGTTTTGATAAATGCGGCCGACATAAAACACACGCTATTCTAGGTTTGAGGGAAGAAGGAATTCTTATTTGGTTATTCTGGTTGATAGTGACTCTGTGAAAATGCAAAGTATTGCACACCATTGGTCCTTGTTTCCCCTCTGCTCCCTGGGCACCAATGAGTCCAGTAAGACCCTGTGATATGAAACACACAACAACAACAAGAAGCACTATTACAGAACAGCCATCATATTACTGTTTGTTATTTAAGGTTTGGTTGTTTTACACTTTCTTAAGATTGTTGCCCCAGTAACCACGCTCAATACGTGTCCATCGATGTAGCGAAGTTAAACCAGTACAGGTTAGCAAATAAGAACCCCGATGCAAAGGTGACAAGATCTGATATGTAGCTTTACCCGAGCTCCTGTTAAACCTGGCTCTCCATTACGTCCTGGATCTCCAGAGAAACCTTTGGCCCCACCTGATCCTGGAAGTCCTCTTTCACCCTGAGCTCCCTGTTTGGAAACACAAAGATATTCTCAGTAGAAAAACAAACAAAACATTTCAATTCGGCCATTATTTCCTCTTCTTCTTCATAACCTGCTCACCTTTTGTCCTGGTAAACCGTCTGCACCTGGGAATCCTCGGTTTCCTGGCGCTCCCTGAGACAATTAAAGGACACTTCTGTCATGACTTTGAAAATCGGTTGTTTTCAAATCAGGTTTTTGAATTTCGAATAAACGAAATGATTCTCCAACTCAAAACTAAAAAGGTGACTCACAGACTCTCCCTGAGGTCCTTGGGGCCCGATGTCTCCACCGTCACCTCGGGGTCCACGTTTACCGTCGTCTCCCATTGGACCAATCGGACCAGGAATACCATGGTCACCCTGAAAGGACCCAGACAGAAAAAAATCTATAAAAAACTAAACACACACTTAGAAGCAAAATAGCAATAACATTTCTTTTTTTGCCCCACTTACTCTCTCTCCCTTGGCTCCACCGTCTCCTTTGAATCCAGGCACGCCAACGTCGCCCTGAAAAACAAGATGGCCGTCAAACCATTAAAACTTAAATACACAAAATAAAATAGAAGCCATAGAGTTACAAACACGAGTCACAATTCAGGGATTTGATGGTGTCCATAAAGGAAAATGTGATTAAATGAGAGCTCATACCAATTGTCCCTTTGGTCCTGGTGCTCCTGTAGTCCCCTGGGGGCCGGGTGGGCCAGCTGGGCCCAACAATCCAGCTGGACCCTGGACACCTACAAGACCCTGTGAAGAACAAGTAGTAGAAACAGCTATAACAACAATGTCTGATAAATGATAAATATTTGCTGAAATTTGGTTTCAAACTTCTGCAGATAAACTTACTGATTGTCCCCGGGCCCCTGGACCTCCATCGGCCCCCGCTGAACCCTGATTGAAAATATGAACTGGTAATTAATATTTATCCAAAGCCGTTTATCTTCCTAAAAATAATGAAAAACTTTACCATTTAAAAGAAATGTAAAGACAGAATGATTTCATCGTTAGCACACCTCATCTCCTGTTTTGCCAGGTGGTCCTGCGTGACCTCCATCACCTCTGGGTCCCTGCGGTCCTGGACTTCCTCTGACTCCAGTAGGTCCTGCTTCACCCTGCATCAGATTCAGGTTTAATCACTTTTAGATCAAGGTCACCGTCATACTTTTTAAAAATTGGAAGGGGTTTCATTGGTTGTTCTGTTAATATTCCAAAAAAAGTTGAGACAGGAAGTGATTATAAAAGTTTAATCCTCCTGTAAAGACCCTGCTGGTTGGATCTTGATTGTTTTCTAGAGATTCAATCAAGTATAGTTTTGCAGTAATTCTGTGTTTCCTCCCGTTATTGTGGTCAAGAGGAAACGTAGTGTGGAAAGAATTACGGAGAAGCCAACAGTTTATAAGACAGTTCTTTATGTAGTAAAAATGTGTCCATATGTTCATTTATATTTCATAATTCTGACTTAAGGCTGACACTCTTACCTTCATGCCGGGGCCACCGGGGAAGCCGGCACTCCAGGGATTCCCAAAGGTCCCTGTAGAGGACAAAAAGATGTTTTATATAAATCTAAATGTAAAGGACTTACCGCTGCTGTTTCGTGCTAAAGTGATTCTATTCTGAAGATTCTCTATTGGATCAGAAACTTTGACATTTCCTCACGTCTCTTCATGTAGCAGAAAGATGAGACATTCTCTTAGAGTCACTACGTTTGTTTCCTAAAATGTTACTGTCGATCTCAGTCCTTACCAGAGGACCTGGTTTTCCAACGTGGCCGGATGCTCCACGTTTGCCCTGCAAAGGAAAGAGAAAGAAGTTTTAATCCTGCAACACGATTTTACAGATTTTTTTTATTTTCAAACCAATGATGACGTTTTCTTCTTACCACAGGTCCGGTTGGTCCGATCCTGCCTCTCTCTCCCTGCATCCCCGCTGGTCCCTGAAAGAAGAAAAAAAATGTGCTATGTTGGAGACACCTGAACGTGTACGACATTTTTGGGGAATTCTGTTAACGGTGTGTGATGCCTACCAGAGGACCTGGAGCACCCATCGCACCCGGAGTCCCAGATGTTCCCTACAAATCACAAAGACCAATACAGTCAGAGGTGAAAGGATTATTATGGAATTATTAGTGCAGCAAAGAACATGTTTAAAGAAGCTCAAATGATGGTAAATGTTTATAATTACTTATTCACAGATACAATTAATTTAGATGAATCAACAATATTCAGTGACAGATGTTTCCACCTTTAATCCAGCTGCTCCAGACTCTCCTCTCGGCCCGGGAACACCAGCATGTCCCTGTTAGAGAAAGAGAGAAATTATCAAAAATTCTTCATTTTTCTTTCTCAAAAAGACTTCAAGTGAAATCATATTTTGGCAGCTGTAAATTTGAATTACCTTGTGACCTTTCAGTCCTGGATGACCTGGAAGTCCTGGGAATCCTCTTGCACCCTGAATTTAAACCAAATGAATCACAATGAAGCCCCAGCTTACACGAGTTCTTGCTATGTTTCTTTAACTGTTAGTTTTCTCTCTTTATACCTGGAAGGATGCAATCAGTTTATACTGTTACTGTTCAGTGGAGGAGTACACTGCAGTGTCAGCGGAGAGCCACTAGATGTCAGTATTAACACTTCTATCGGGATGTACTCTGCTTCTTCCTTTTGTTTTGCAAAGTTCAATTACAAAATCTAAATGTCAAGTTGTGTTAATAGTTTGTGTGTTAAATTATTATTATAATAATATGCATGGAGTACATGCAGAATCCTCTCTGTGACATTCAAACTCAACTATGCCTCTTAGTCTCATCCTGAAATATTACACCTCATTTAATTAAATTTTTCATTTTGTCATGAACGCTGGATTACCCCTGATCCTGAAATCCTGGTTCCCCTGTCGCACCTGCAGGTCCAGGTTCACCCTGAGCAGAAAAAAACCGATTATTGATAAGAAATGACTCATGTGGCAATATCAAATTGACTTCTTTACTGCAGCTTTAAATGAGAAAGTTCTTCGTTTTAAATGTCAGAAATTCTTTTTCTAAACATAAATCTTCTTTTGTTTTTTCTCACATCACGTCCAGCTTTTCCAGGCGGCCCCTCAGGTCCGCGATGACCCTGCTCACCCTGCAAACAAACAATAAAAACTGTCAGAGCTAAAACTAAAACTTGAGACATTCAGAGATAAACTGTGCTGACATGCGAAACAAAACCAAAACATAAGATGCAGAAATGTTCCCACCACCAATCCTGGATCTCCAGTCTCTCCTGGAATTCCCTGACCGCCACTCGGGCCCTGAACAAAGGACAACATGTGTGTCATTAATGATTCATATCCACTCAACAAAACTACAGCTCAGTCTTTAACTCATGAAAACGTACAGCTGGTCCAGGCGTCCCTGGAGGTCCCCTAGGTCCTGCTTCACCCTGAATAAAACCAAACACGTTTTAAACTTGAAGTATTTATAACAGCAAACATCCTAACTTTACATCGTTTCTTTCTGACATTGTTCCATGCAACTCACGCTTGCTCCTGACACCATTGAAGCCATCACAGATTTCTCATTGAACCCTGAAGCCATCTGAGACATGATGTTGCCCTTTAAAAAGTAAAGAAATATTTAACAACATTTGCAAATGAGGCACATTTATTTTTCTTTTGCATTAAAAGCAACAGTTAACTGTCTCTGAGAATAACTCACCCCAGGGTGGGAATTCTGGCCAGGGGCCCCAGGCTGTCCTGGGTTACCTGGGATACCGGGCTCTCCGTCAAATCCTGGAGGTCCTGCAAATCCCTGCAGGGTGAAATATGATCAATAAGAGAAATCATGTCTTCTTCAGGCCATGAATCACTGACTCATTTAACATAAGCGTAGCTTGAAAACAACAAACAAGCTCGCTACTGAGGCAGATAAATGCAACATGTTAAATTACATACATGACAGACTTCTCTGTTCCACGTTTAACCTGAAAGTTTAACCTCGATGTCTAAAAATGTACAATCAACAAACACAGAAATCCTGCAGACCGACCTATATAAATGAGTGATAAAGACAAATCCATTATCAGCTCACTTTGTAGGTTAACAGAGTCCAAATGAAGGTTTGATAGTTTTGTGTATTCAGTCATGAGCACATTAATGCAAACTTACCCGCCTGCCTTTAAAGCCTCTCTGTCCAGTGTTCCCCTGAGCTCCTGGAGGACCCTGAAAAGAGAGATTTATATTTGTTATACATTTTATCTGCTGACTGAACGTGCTGCATTACTTTATCATCATGATGGAAAAATAAAATAGCAAATCAAGTAAGAATCTTTGCATAGAATTATGAATATTTGTTTGAATTTCTCAAGTGTTAGCAAACGATACCGGCCTTCACAGCAATTATTGAAACAAACATCCATCTTTGGTTTTTACAGGAGACCTTAATGAGACTCTGGTGCCCTCTAGTGTTAACATGTTGCATAGAACTGTGCATTTTAAGGGTGATCAAGGTTTCTGAATTAGTTTGAATCTTTCTATTCTAGATGATCAGTTCTCTGATGTCATTTAGAGTTCAAATTTGTTTTTGAAAGTGGAGAAGAAGAGGTCAAAACTCACGGCAGGTCCCGAAGGTCCGGGGAGTCCAACCACCTGAGAGAAAAAAGACAAACTATGTAAACTTTTTAGGAATAAAAAGGTATAGACAAAAGGTAAATAGATTATTATTATCATTATTGTTTGCTGGAAGCGTCAGGCAAACAAAGTACTCACATATGGGATATCACCTGGTTCACCTTTCTGTCCCTGAAAAAGTCAGAAATATAAACAACGTGATCCAATCTAAATAACATTCATTCTTTGTATTTTTATACTAATCCATGTAAAAGTGAATTATGCCTTACCTTGAAGGCCATCATTTCTTAAGAAGAACAAAAACAAATAATACAGTTAGTACATTTAATGAATACTTCAATGTCATCTGCACAGTGATTTAATAAAGTTCTTATTTTGCCGCCACAGAAGAAGAACTGAGAGGTAAAAATCAGTCTCACCTATCATCCTGCCTACGCTGGCAAAGTTTTCACACACGGGGCAGCACTCTCCCTCAGGAGTGACGACCTTCTCGCAGTTTGAGATCAGCTCACACTGGACCTCGTCGCAGATGGCCACGCCGTTATCGCAGACACACACGTGGCACGGCTCCGGTTTCCAGATGTCGTTGTGTTGGTAGATCTGCTCGTCGACCGTGCAGCCTTCCCCTGGAGTCTCGTCTGCAGCTGAAACTGTAATCAGAAACGCAAAGGATATTTTTAAAACAAGATCATGTACAGAAATGAATAGCACAAGTGGAGAAACATTCACCTATCCTGGGGTTGGTTTTGGGCTTCGCTGTAGAGCCTGCAGTCAAACACACGGGGCAGCACTCGCCCTCTGGAGTCACAGTTTGGTCACAGTCACCGATGTCCTCACAAACCACGTCTTCACACACAGCCGTCCCCATATCACACACACAGATCCGACACGGATCGGGGTTCCACATGTCGTTGTTGGCGTAGACTTTTCCATTTTCTGTGCAGGTATCTTCACGAAACAAAAACAGATTAAATTAGCATTCATGTTGGTTTTAATGCAAGAAATAAATGTTTACCTTTTGACACTTATTTGCTTTTTTTTGCCAAGAGTCGATATAAAGTCATAACATGTTTGAATGTAGCTAGAAGATGTTCATGTCTACAAACTGGTACTTATGCTAGGCTAACCAACAGCTAGCTACTAGCTTGAGCTTCATATTACATACTGAAAGACTCCTCTGACTCTCGGCAAAAAAACATAAGTGTAATATAACATGCCTCAACTCACATGCAGGCATATATTCTTTTTTAAAGCTTCTATGTGCTGATTTGTTTGTGATTTTAGCGACCTCGCTGTCACAGATTAAAAATCACACATACAAGCTTTAAAAGGTTTATTTTTTGACGACATTTTTGAGCAAAAAACTTTCATCGGTACTGAAATAGAGAGCAACACAAAGATAGCACAAATAACAAACATAACATTTATCATCATTAAAAGTTCATTTAAAGTGCAACCGATAACATGAAATCAAACATGACAGTGGAAGAAATCATTTCCCAGAGGAATACACATTATTTGAGGAATAAGTTTCTTGCTTAACCTCCTTTTGTGTTGCAGAAAGAAATGGTATCAACTCAACAAGTTTCAAATGTTTTCCATTTTATTGCTATCCAAACTTCTGCTGCACACAAGTTGGTTGAGAAGTAAACTTATCGGGCAAAAGGTCATGTATTCCTTCTGCAAACTGAAACTAGAATCTTAGGGAAACTCTGACACAGAGAATAAAAAGAACATTTGGAGGTTTTGATGCACAGGATGGAGCCTGAAGAGGAGAACTTCAGGTTGGAAGACATGATAAAAAAAGCAGCAGCTGTCCTGACAGACACGTGAAGATTTCCGACTGCTTCACATGAGAGACATCGACACAAACGCTGCAGGAAAACAACCAGGATGCAGAACAGGCTTTGGAGGGTTACATTCCAGTTTACCAGCGTCTGCAGTCAAGCACACAGGGCAGCACTCGCCCTGCGGGATCTCTGTGGTCTTGCAGTCACCTAATTCTTCACACACCATGTCCTCACAAAACACCGTCCCCATGTCACAAATACACATCCGACACGGTGCGGCTTCCATATCTGATTGTTGGAGTAGACTTTGCCGTCCTCTGAACAGGAATCTTCATGAAAGAGAACAACAGCTCACATGATTTGACTCTCACAGTGAAAAACCTCGACTATGAACTACAGGATGGATTGGCACAAAGGTTGGCAAAGGTTTGGTCGTGTTTCAGGTCGGGCTTTGTCCAAAACTTTTATTTAAACCTGCAGAACTAACGGTGCTCCCATCAGCTTTCTCTACTTTAAATCAGTGCTGAATACAAACTGTTAGCATGCTAAAGAAAGGTGGTCGAAATTATGAACATTATACCTGCAAATGAGATGTTCATTAGCATTTATTTAAATCTCGATGGTTCCCCCCAGAGTCCTTTGATTGTTCATTTTGTTCAACAAACAAGAGATGCACCGATTGTGAAAATCAGGACCGATACCGATGTTTGAAATAATAATTTAGCCGATATAATGTTTGTTTCATGAATTCTTTGAGTGTCAGACTTTCCCAATTCCTCTCTGAGATTTTTTTCCAACAGGTGACTTCATTTGCCCAATAGAAAACCTCTTCCCTGAATCAGTAGTTAGGTCTATCAGATGTCAGCATTAAATTGATTTGGCACAACAAATTAAGCTCGGCTACTGACATCAGCTCATGCCACATTATTTGCAGAATACTTTAACACTCTTTGGGGCAAAAACTGTTTTTGATGGCAGGAACTAAAAGCATGAAAGGAGATGGTCTGAAGATGAATCCTGATCATGTAGTCTTGACATGGCACAGCATTAATGCTCACCTTTAGCACAGTGATCATTCCAGAAGATGTTATAGTCTCCTGTTTTATAACCACATAAAATCCACATAAATAGACTCAGGGTGGATTTGCAAATGTGAATATTTATGAACCCACATTAAAATCTCCTCTGCCAAATATCAGCTTCTTATTAAATATTTATTACCAGTTTTATTGTCCATGCTAGGAGGAGGCGGGGGTGGTGGTGGTGGTGGTGCAGTCGAGCACACGGGGCAACACTCGCCCTCGGGGGCCTCGGTTGTTGGGCAGTGCTTTAGCTCCTCACACACCACCTCCTCACACACCACAGTCCCCGTGTCACAGATACAGATCCGACACGGCTCTGGGCTCCATATCTGATAGTGGGAGTAGGTCTCTCCGTTTTCTGTGCAGGTATCTTCATGAGACAGAACAGCAACGGACGTCAGTAATGTGGCTGAGTCCCTTTCAGTTGGTAGAGGGGGAGCTTTGTTCATCATTATGGGGATTTCTAGCACGAGACCCGCAGCCATCGTCCCATGATGAGACAGTTTCCAGCAGCTGTCATCGCACATTGTGTATTTTTCTAATATCGTGAAGTGAACGGATGTCGTTTCTGACACGCAGAGGTTCAGTTTGAGCATCGCACCCTTGCTAGGTCATCTGAAAATGTGAATGTGGTCAATGACACAACATTACGTGTATCAGAGGTGTTTTTAAATCCATGCTAAGTTTTTTCTTAGCCCTTTCTTAATGAAACAGAAAGTCTCATCACAATAACACCTTGTCTTTTTTTACACTCAGATAAAGTCAAATATTCGGCTCCAGTGGAGCTCATCCAGACTCCTCCACATGTAGAAACCAAAAGAAAAGAATCACGAGTCCTGTGGCTCTATAATCATTTTAAGCCTGTAAACAGAATGGAGGAAAATTGGTTTCCTCTGTTTGGATTGTGGAGCTAGTGGTGAAAGAAAGAATACAAAAGAGTGAGTCTGTTGTTCTCATGAGTCAACACTTCCACTGGGCCGTGGCCACTGGCCTACTGGTTATTATTACTCTCTAAAGCTTTGCTTCCTGCTGTGAGGTTTTACAAACGTGTTGGCAGAGCTCTATGAAAACACACGCTCACTTTGCAGGTCAGGTCAACTTTTCAGGACAACAAAGTCAGAATGATGGCTTGTTATGGTCATCTGTAATTTCTTAGTTCTAGTATTTATATGAAGTTAAAACAAATTTTTTTTTTTGTCCTCAGAGGAACAAAAGCTCAGTTAAAAAACTATTTACCAGAGGATGTCTCCACACAGTTTGAAAACAGAGCTTCTGACGTCTAGAGGAAAAGTTGACGACAATAAAAACTGCATGGCTGAATTTCAATTGTGCAACCATTGTAGAACCACTTCAGCGCACCACTACCTGTCTTCTCCTCTTTGATGTAAGATCAACAAAAAGTCTAAAAGCAACCTAAAAAGATGTTTTCTGCTAGTCAATAGGACAGAGACTACAGACTGAAACAACCCACAAAGGCCCCTTCTGTCAGAAAGACCCCATAATGATGAGTTACACCAACTGAAAGGAGATTGTGCTGAGTTAAAACCAGAGTTCCCAGTATGTGAGGGAACAAACAGCATTTACCTGCGTCAGTGTCTGCACTGGTCGAGCACACGGGGCAACACTCGCCCTCGGGAGTCACAGCCGTCTGGCAGTCACTCAGCTCCTCACACACCTCGTCCTCACACACTACAGAGCCCACGTCACACATACAGACCCGACACGGCCTGGGGCTCCATATCTGATTGTTGGAGTAGACCTGTCCGCTTTCTGTACAGCTGTCTGAGTCAAGCACACAGCAATGAGGAGCACAGGTGCATGAAAGGGATTTATTGATTTATAACCTCCCAGCGGTCATGAAACTGTTCTGTGAGCAGGAGACATGAGCAGAAATTAGTGGAGTCAAACCAAAAAGAAGATAAATATGATTTCATAGAGGGAAACAACCTAAATCACTGCAAACTAATCTCCCAAATAACTGCATTTTAAAATACACTTACAAAGCTAATGCAGCTGTACTTTCCACATTTGGCCACTAGGCTGCACTCATTACAAAGCAATACAATAATAATCAGCTGGCCTTCATGCTTTAATTACATTCTCTGCAATATGAAGGAAACATTTTAAACTTTTGTCAACAACCTTCGAGCACCTTAAGCTTTATTTATTTTTTACACGATTGTTGAAATAAAAGCTGAATAAAGGGTCATTCAAAGACTTCACATTCAAGGTCAAATGGCACGATTGCTCTTTTTGCATCACAGATGAGATTCAAACCCACATTCTCTTTGTTTAGGTT